GCGCTATTATGCCATGATCGTACTTGTCAAACACTTTTGCAAAGTCTGTGTATATTACATCTGCATTCTGATTTTCTTCCAGTGCATCCAAGGCTATATCATAGTGATCCAGTAGTTGTGACAGGCAGGAGCGACCTGCCCTGAACCCATGTTTCCCTGGATTGTGCAGTTTTGGGGAATCCAGGTGGTTTGCAATCCTGCTTCTTAGCACTCTTTCAAAGATTTTTATGATGTGGGACATTAGAGCTATTGGTCTATAGTTCTTAGCTAATGCTTTATGGAGTGGGGCTATATCCCACCTACTTTATCATCCACGCACATTCGAACACCTCAGTTTTATAAAGTTTTTCTTTTTCTCGTTTTTAGTAGTTTGTGCAGGAGAAGGTGTTACTAGCCCATTGCTCCCAGCATTTTAGTTGCCTCCTACGACACTCATGGCTTGTGGAGGAAATATTCTTTTCCACTTTGCCATGGAGAATAAGGAAAATAAAGAGGAACAAGAACTATTTAGAAAGAAAGAAGAAAAACCTAGATATGTGTATTTATATATATGTATATGCATACCTGTGTTGTGTGACCTAAGTGTAAGTAGAAGTAGCAAGATATACCTGTTATCTAGCACGTTTATGAGAAAGAAAAAGGACACCAGCAATCCTACCATCATGTAAAACAGTTACAGGTTTCTGTTTCACACTCACTTTGCAGGATGGTAGTACCTCCCTGGGTGGTTGCTGTCTACCAACCTACTACCTATATAATTTTATATAGGTGTGAAATGTGGTCTTAGGATGTTGCAGCAAGGTGGAGGCTGAGGGAAGTGGAGATGTCAAGTTTAAAATTATTTTTTTAACTCACAGGTCATTTCCCGGCAAGGCTGAGCGACCCTGAAGAAGAAAATACATTCACAAATTTTCATTCAGTTACCATATTTCCAGATTTGTGCTGGCATCACAATCAGATCACCCTCCAACTGCAAACACATCCCCACCCTGCCTTCAGGGAGCAGGCACTGCACTTCCCATCACCAGGACTCAAGTCCAGCTTTCCAGTTTCCCTTGAATTCCTCCATAAAAGTTACCATGCTCACACTCCAACTGCATGTATAGTAGTCCCCTCAAATTCGCAGGCGTTACGTTCCAAGACCACCCGCAAATTTGGAAAAACCGCGAATTCTGGACGTGGTTAAAATAATGCCTATAAATGCCTATTTTTGTAGTTTAAACCCTAAATATGCCCCCGAAACACTTTAATTTGAAACTCGGCTTCATACATCACCCTTAAAAAAAAAATGTAAAGTTAAACCTGTATACAGTACTGTACTGCTATGTCTCCCGCAGTGCTAAAATGTAAAATACCGATGTTACCCCATATGTACTGTAATTCATACAAGCCCGTTTTCTTTGGTATACTGTAATTCATGCAGTCCTGTTTTCTTTGGTATATGTACGGTAAATACAAGGTAACAATTTAGTAAAAGTAAAGTTAAATGTATGGGTACTCACCAATAATGAATGATACCGTTCTCTCTACAGCTCTAAAAAGTTATACAGTATTATATTTTACATGGAAATTTTGTTACAAAATTGTTAATTATATTTTTCTTAATTAGCATTAAAATGCATAAAAATATTGTATATTGCCGCAAAAAAAAGCCAAAAAATAATCCATGAATTTGCGGGGATTTCCACAAACAATTATTAGTTAGGTTCTAAGGAAAAATCTGCAAATTACTGAAGCTGTGAATTTGAAACCATGAATTCGCTGGGGTCCACTGTACATTAAAAACTAATTGTTTCTATGCATGCCTATCAGACATGCTCATACAAGCCTTCTGGATCCTCAAATCTTTAAAACTCAAAGCTTCTTGTATTTCCTCCTCCCAACCATTTCTGGGATGTTCCTTACCCCTCCTGCAGATTTATACATCCTCTTCAATATATCCCTGCCCAGACCTTCTCAATGACCCCTCCTCAGATCTCTGAATTATACCCTTGGTCACCCCTACATCACTTTTTAATTTTTATGACTCAAGAAATCGTAATGACACGATTGCAAATAAACCATACCCCCGGCCGGGATTGAACCCGCGGTCATAGAGTCTCAAAACTCCAGCCCGTCGCGTTAACGACGGGCTGGAGTTTTGAGACTCTATTACCGCGGGTTCAATCCCGGCTGGGGGTATGGTTTAATTTTTATGTTCTGAATTCTCCGCATAATATTCACCATTCATTGGTCTCGTACGTGACATCTCCATTGCCTCTAGCCTTCTTTTCTATGCAGCATTTGAAATCCATGCCTCACATTGTTATGAAAGTGTTTGTACCACTATACTCTGATACATTCCCATTTTTTACCTCAAAGATAAACCTCCTCCTTTCCAGAGATACTTCAAGATGCCGCATACCCTTTTTCCCTCTCATTTATTCTGCGGTTTACCACATAAACCACAGTATGGGCTGGGATTGAACTTGTGGCTAGTGAGTCATAAAACTCCAGACTGATGTGAATTCAACCCCTGCCCCTATCGTAGTTTGTTTGCAATCGTGTCATTACAATTTTGTAAGTTTTACCACATCTTTCATAGACCCATCTGCCTACATGCCCACTCCCAAGTAGTTAAATACGTCCATTTCCTCTGTATTCCCACCAATCTGATATTCAGTCTCTCTCTGCCTAGACTAGATATAATAACATGATGTGAATATTATGCTGAGAGTAAGGAAATTAGATGATGGTGTAGTGGTATAAGGTATAATTCAGAGGGTGGAGGAGCAGTTGTTGAGATGGGTTGGTCTTGCAGAAGAAAGGAGAAAGGTAGGGTATCTAAAAGCATATATAAATTTGGAGATTGGAGGTGGTGTAGAGAATGTCTTAGGAAGGTTGAAGGAAGAGTGTGAAGGTTGTTTTGCAAGTTAGGCTAGCACTAAGTGACTCGTATGGGCTTCCCTCTAGACTTGAGCAGGCTAGTATATTAGGAATTTGAAGTCAAGTCAGAGTAGTTTTTGAGATCTGATTTGCTGTTGGAGTGCTAGCAAGGCAATATATGAAGGGATTCATAGAAACAGGTTAGTTGAGCTTAAGTTCTGTAGGTGGGAAGTACAGCACATGCACTTTGAAGGATATTGAGGGATGTCTTGGTTTGATGGACTATTAGAATTTTGTTGTTTGTGCTTCCCTGGAATGACAGCTAGGGAATGAGTGATGGTCATTTTCTTTCTTTTTTGGTGGAAAATGGCCGGTGTCTTTAAAAAGTACAAAAAAGCAAATGGTTGATACTGTACATGATGAAGTCATTGTGCTAAAGGAGGTCACAACATTTACTTTGGTGTGGAAAAGTCATAGTTACTGATATATTTGGCCCAAAACATCTGTAGTTATCTTCTCATATTTACAATGACCCAAAAAATAAAAGTTTAATTTTCATAGGTCCCAGAGATTATAAGATTTTCAGTAATGTTCTTTTAAGATTTTTGTTGACAATACTTACATTTTTTTTTTAAACCAGCTTACCTTATGAGAAATTTCTTATAATTTACATGGAATGTATATCATATCCATTCCCAAGCTTTTGATTGTTTTTAATCCTTTGATTTTTACTTCATTTCTCACAAAGGCTACATTGACATTTCTGTTAAAAACAACTAGTAATGTTTATGTATGGGCTCTGATGAACCACTAGGAATAAAAACCTGTCTGAATACCTCCTGAAGGTTAGGTTAGGTAAGACTCATCAGGAAATAGGGCAAGTGTTTCTTGATGTGGGTTTTAGTCATAATACCCACCATTGGAGCATTTGGTCATCTGACCAAGGCCTTCCACTGGCTTACTGGTCCACCCCTCTAATAACTGGAATTATATAATACACAATACCTCCAGTAGTACCACTCTTAAGGTCTAGCCTCATTCTGTGAGTGGAGATGAATGGTTTTTGGAACTTTATGAGCTGTTGGAGTGTGAACAGGGTAATATTTTATGAAAGGAATCTGGGAAACTGGTTAGCCAGACTTGAGTCCTGGAAGTGAGAAGTACAATGCCTGCGCTTTGAAGGAGGGATTTGGGATATTTGCTGTTTGGAGTGACATCTGAACTGCCGTATCTGCGCTTCTCTGCAAAGACAGTGATTATGTGTGAATGATGGTGAAAGTGTTTCTTTTTTGGGTCACCCTGCCTCGGTCAGAGATGGCCAGCATAGTGAAAAAAAGTGTTAATTGTAATGGGGTAAAACAACAGTGAACATAGCATCATATTTTTAAGTTTTCTATATAATTTTTATCACCTTGATAATAAGTAACATGCAATTAATGGATGAAACTAGACGATATTTTTGTCTGTCCTGAACCATAATCAACTTAAACTATTGTAACTCGGTAATAGTATAAGATGGACCAAAATGTAGTTTAAAATTTCCTCTTCAAAAGGAGGGTTAGTTGTGAGCTGTTCCAGTCATGGTATTATGACTTACTCTTTAAACATTTCACGTTACTTTAGATGCTAAGAGATTGAAGATCTCTCGTGCTTACAATATCTGTCCCCGTAACATTTTCACACCTGGGTAAACATTTTGACTTTACCTTGTACAGAAACTTTATCCTGTATGTCTCTGTTGTGTGCATACAATACAGTACAATTGGTTTCTCCTCATACTGTATTTGCTTAATAATGTACTCACTTACATATGGCTATGGGGGTCAAGTCTCAGCTCCTCTTGCATTCATCAGTTTCCCCTTTCTTCTGGTTAATTATGCATATATATATAATAGAACCTGTGTCTGCTATAATTTACAGGTAGTAGCTGATTTATGTAGAATTTACATTTAGTTCTTCCAAACTAGGTAAATAATAATAGTGTAGTAATATTAAATAATGTTAAAATACCAAAGCTCACATGAGTAATATAATGCCAGCTTTGACTTAGCTGTTGTTATTTTTGTGGTGATTTCAAAGAAAAGTAGCAGCATATTACTGTGGGGGTTCTCACTTGTGTCTTCTCTTGGTTTCAGACCCCAGGGGAGTTTGTGGCCAGAGCTAGGAGAGGGAGTCACTGAGGGACATAAAGCTCGTTCTGAGGTTGACTCTAACTCTTGTAAGGTGAGAAACCCCCACAGTAATGACCAAAAGCAGAGGAATTATTCTCAAACCAATGATGATCAAATTCCTCAAGAGCTAAATGAACCAAACAGGCCCTTAATCAATTACCATAAATTGACAAGTCATAGCTCAAATGAGAATGAATTGAAAGCTGTATGTGAACACACCGATTCTAGCTCACACCTACCTGTAAAGGAGTATCCCAGCAGTGTTGTAGCAGATCTAGAAGACAGTAACAGTGCTAATGTTAGTAAGAAGGTTAAGTGTCTCCAAGAACCTGTGAAGGAATCCAACACTGGTAAAGAGGATTTGGGTAAGGAAGCTAAAAAGCATGAAGATTTTCCTGGTAGTAATATGCAGACCTGCAGATATAGTCCTAAAAAAGCTGTTGTTCAAAGTAGTACACTGAAGCAGAAGCATGGTGACACCATCAGTCTTACTTGTCAGGAACTTCAAGAGAAAAAGCATTATGGTGAAGCACAAGATAAAAAGATAACTAATACTGCTACAGTAGCAGGTCAGATACATTACTGGAAAGAAGAAACTAGTGCTACTGAAGCCAGTGAAAGTGAGATGAATTATGTAGAGGATAGTGATAGTGAGGACAGTGACCTAGCTCAAATCGGCCCTATTGAAGCGGATGAAGATAGTGAAAGTGAGGACAGTGACTTGGAACAAATCAGTACCAGTGAAGTAGATGAAGGTCAGATTCAGTACGAGGAGATCAGTGAAAGTGAAGAAAGTGACATAGAACAAATCAGTACCAGTGAAGTAGAAGAAGGTCTGAAATATTATGAAATAAGTGAAAGTGAGGAGGGAGACTTTGAAGAAATAACTACTAGTGAAGCAGACGACAGTCAGACACACTACGAAGAAATGCGCTTGAGCAAAGACTGTGTCCTAGAGCAAATTAATACCCGTGAAGCAGATGAAGGTAAGATGAATAATTTGGAAAACATTGATAGTAGTAGTATACAATCTGAGGAAGACAGTACAAGTGAGGACAGCCTAGAGCAAATGTTTACCACTGATGAAGATGACAGAGATTTTCATAGTAATGCAAAGCATCATGAAAAAAAAATTCTCATGGAAATAAAGAAGAGTAAAGTTCGATATGAAAAAAGTATTAGAGAAGACAAGGAACTCATTCATACTACTGAACCAAGTTGGCTCTGTAATGAGGAAGACATTAGATGTGTGCAGAAAGATCAGAATCTCCTGCTTACTACTGAAGATGAAATTGGTGTGATACATCATGAAGAAAACAGTGGAAGAGGGAAGATGGATAAGCAAATTCTTATTCCTGAAGCAAGTGACACACCTGGTGGGAAAAGCAGTGGAGAGGAAAATAATCAAAAGCAAATTCTTGCAGTTGTAGCAGGACCGACACCTAAACAGGGAGAAAATGAAAGAGATAACAAACAAGAGCCAGGTCTTACCACTGAAGCTAGTGAGTTGGAAGATGACAGTGACCAAAAGTACACTCCTAGCCCTGACAGTGACCAGAAGTGCACTCCTAGCCCTGAAGCCAATATGTCTCTTGCTTTGCAAAATGATGGAAGAAAAGACAATAAACAAGAGAAAGATTTTGCCAGTAAAATTATTCAGGATGATCTGGATGACGGTGAAATTGATGACGGTGATCACGCCCAATTCCTTAACACTGAAACCAAAGTAGTTCGTGATCTTGAAGGTAGTGGTGGGGAGGACAGTGATCAAGAAGAATTCCTTAAAACTGAATCAAGCCAAATTCTTTTAAAAGAAACTGGAAGTCAAGGCAGTGATCAGAAACAGATTTTTACCGCTGATGAAAGAAAAGTTCATAATTGGGAAGACAGTGGAAGAGAGGACATTGATCAACAGCAATTACTAATTAGTGACTCAAGCCAGAATCATGATCTGGAAGACACTAGAATAGAGGACAAAGAACACATTCTTAGTATTCATACACAGCAGGTTAGTGATTTAGATATTGAAAGAAAAGACATAGTTCAAGACCAAATTCATACCACTGAAGCAGATGGTCAAGTACATTATAAGAATAACAGTGGAAAAGAGGACATTGATCATGGACACATGCCAATCACTAAATCAAGCCAAGACCAAGATCAGCAAGATACTGGAAGGGAGGACAGCAGTGAAAAACAAATTCTTGCTACTGAAACTAGATATGTTAGTGATTTGGAAGACAATGAGAGAGAGGAGGATAAGCAAGAGCAGATTTTTACCATCAGATCAAGTCTGACTTTTGGGCTGGATGATAGTGATCAAGAGAATATTCCTAACACTGAAACAGATGGGGGTCAAAAGTATTACAAGGTAGACTGTGGAAGGCAAGGCAGTAATCAAGAGCAAATGCAGACCATTGCTGAAACAAGTTGCATAAATATTTGGAAAAATGGTGAAGAGGCTGGTAATGATCAAAAGAATTTTCTTGCCATTAAAGAAAGTCAAGGTCATTTTTTGGAAGATACTGGAAGGGAGACCATGGATCAAGAGGAAATATTAACCACTGAATCAAGCCAAGATCATGACCTGGAAAACAGTGATAGTGATAACAGTGATCAAGATGAATTTCTTACTCCTAAAACAAAAGAGGATAATGATCTGGAAGACAGTGAAAATGAGAATAATGATCATCAACTTCTTAACCTTGAAGTGGAGCAGGATGATGATGTGGAAGGCAGTGAAAGTGATGACAATGATCAAGCCCAGCTTTTTATCCCAGAAATAAAACAAGTTTATGGTTTTGAAGATAGGGGAGGAGAGGACACTGATCAAGAAGAACTTCTTAAAACTGCATCAGACATGATTAACTTAAAAAGAACTGAAAGTCAAGACAATGACCAGGAAGAAAGCCAAACCACCATAGCAAGTGAGAGCCATGCTCTGGAGGACAGTGTAAGAGAAAGTAATGATCAAGAGGAAATATTAACCACAGAATCAAGCCAGGATCTTGATCAGGAAGATACCAGAAGAGGGAACAGTGATCATGAACACATTCCTATCACTAAAGTAAGTCAGGTACATAGTTGCAAAAGCTGTGAAAAGGAGAGCAGTGAACAAAAGAATTTTCTTGCTGTTGAAGAGAGTGAAGTTCGTTCTCTGGAAGACACTGGAAAAGAGAACAGTGATGAGCAAATTCATTTCTTGAGAGCTAGTCAGGTTCAGGATATAATAAACAATGAAAGAGAGAATATTGATAAAGATCAAATAATAATTACTGGAACAAGCCAGGATCATGACCAGGAAGACCTTAAAAGAGAAGAAATGGATCAAGCACAAATGCCAGTCACTGAATCAAGCCAAGTTCATGATCTGGAAAGCAGTGGAAATGATGAAAGCAATCAATATCAGTTGGTTAGCACTGAAGTAAAACCAATTAATGAGCTTGGAAATAGTGGGGGAGAGGACAGTGATCAAGAGGAAATAATTGAAATTGAATCAAGCAAAATTCACTTTAAAGAACTTGAAAGTCAAGTCACAGACCAGGAGCAAATTCTTACCACTGAAGCAAATGAGTTTCATGATCTAGAAGACAGTGGAAGAGAGCACATAGATCAAGACCAAATTCTACTCACTGAATCAAGCCAAGTTCATGATCTGAAAGATACTAGAGTAGAGGACAGTGATGAGCAGATTTTTGCTACTGAGGTAAGACAGATTAGTGATTTGGAAGACAGTGAGAGAGAGGAGGATGAGCAAGAGCAGATTTCTACCACCAGATCAAGTCTGACTTATGGGCTAGATGACAGTGATCAAGAGAATATTCTTAACACTGAAACAGAAAAAGATCAAAAGTATTACAAGGTAGTGTGTGGAATAGGGGGCAGTAATCAAGAACAAATGCAGATCCCTGAAGCAAGTCATACTCATGTTTGGGTAAACAGTGGAGAGGTGAGCAATAATTGTAAAACTTTTCTTGCCACTGAAAAAAGTAAAGATCATTATCTGGAAGACACCTTAAGAGAGGATATAGATCAAGAGCAAATACTAACCACTGAATCCAGCCAGGATCATGACCTGGAAGACAGTGAAAGTAGCAACAGCAATGAAAAAGAATTTCTTGCCCCTGAAATAAGAGAGGAGGATGATCTGGAAGAAATTGAAAATGACTACAATGATCAAAATCAACTTCTTACCCCTAAGATACAACATGATCATGACCAGGAAGCCAGTAAAAGTGATGCCAGTGATCAAATTCAGTTTTTTACCTCAGAAATAAAAGTTCATGATTTTGAAGATGGGGGTGGAGAGGACAGTCATCAAGAAGAAATTCTTAAGACTGAACCAAACCATACTCACCATCTGGAAAACACTGGAAGAGAGGACAGTGATGAAAAAAAAATTCTAACCACTAGAGCAAGGCAGGCTAGTGAGTTGGAAGACAGTGAAAGAGAGGAAGATCAGCAAGAACACACTATTACAACTGAATCAAGTTTGATCTATGCTCTGGACACCAGTAATCAAGAACCTGTTTTTAACACTCAGACTGATGAAGGTCAGAAGTATGAGGTAGACAGTGGAAGAGATGGGAGTGGTCAAGCGCAAGTTCTTGTCGCTGAAGCAAATTGGTCATCTCATTGGAAAAACAGTGATGAGGGCAATAATCAAAAAGAAATTCTTTCCACAGAAGCATGTCAAGCTTATGATCTAGGTGATGGGAGAGAGTATAATGTGCCAGTAGAAATGTGTGCCACTGAAGCTGGTCAGGTGTATCATATAAGAGACCATGGAAGAGAGGACAGTGATCAAATGCAAATCTTCTCTACTGAAGTATGTCAGACTCATGATCTGGAAGACAGTGGAAGAGAGGACAATGATCCAACACAGATTCTTGATACAGAAGCAAACGAGGTTCATGAGATCAGTAGAGAAGACATTGATCAAACAAAGACAGAGGCCAGTCAAGTTCATGATCTAAAAGAGAGTGGAAAAGAAGACAGTAATCATGAGCTCATTCGTGCCACTGATGGTCAAGTATATTATGAGACTGATAGGGAAAGTAAGGCCAGTGTTCAACAACATAGTCCTACCATTGAGACAAGTCAAACATATTCTTGGGAAAGTAGTGATAATGGGAAGGATCAAGGGCAAGTTCAAAGCACTGAATCATCCCATGATCATAATCTGGAAGATGGTAGGGGAAAGGATAATGATCAGGAAGAAACTCTTATCACTAAATCAAGGCAGGGTCATGATCAGGAAGACAGCAATGAGGATTTTATTCTTACTACTGAATCAAATCGGATTCATGATCAGGAAGACAGCAATGAAGATTTTATTCTTACTACTGAATCAAGGCAGGTTCATGATCCAGAAGACAAGGATCAAGAGTTTATTCTTCACACTGATGCAAGTCAGATTCATGATCTGGAAGACACTGAAAAAGAAGACAGTCATGACAACATTCATGTCAGTGATGGTCAAGTATATTATGTGGTCGGTGGTGAAAGTGAGGCCAGTGTTCAAAATTATATTCCTACTGCTCAGGCAAGTCAGACACGTTCTTTGGAATGTAGTGATGAGAGTGACCAAGGGCAAGCTCAGACCATTGATTCAACCCATGGTCATGATCTGGAAGACAGTGGGAGAGAGGCTAATGTTCAGGAAGACACTTGTACCACTGAATCAAGACATGTTCATGGTCAGGGACATAATGTTCAAGAGCTTATTTTTACCACTGAATCAATACAGAGACATGAACTTGACGAGAAGGATCAAGGGCATATTCTTACTACTGAATCAAGGCTGGTTCATAATCAGGAAGACAGCAGCCAAGAAATTACTCTTACTAATGAAACAAGGAAGATTCATGATTTAGAAGACAAATATCAAGAGTTGATTCTTGACACTAAAGCAAGTGAGGTTCATGATATTGAAGGCAGCAGGAGAGAGGCCAATAAAACACAGGTACTTATCTTTGAGGAAGATGAAGTAAGTAATTTAGAAAACAGTGAAAAAGATAACAGCTGTCGAGAGCAAATTTGTACCACTGAAACAGATACGGAACAAGTGCAATATGAGAAAAATAGTCAGGAGGAGGACATTGATGAGGTGCAAAACCTTGCTTCCAACACAAGCCAAGTGAGTAATTTTGAAGATGGTGAGCAAGAAGAAGTCCTTATGACAGAAGCAAATCAGGTTCATGATCTGGAAAGCAATGGAGAAGATGACAACAATCATGAGTTCATTCGCATCACTGATGGTCAGGTACAATTTGAGGTTGAAAGTGAGAGCGAGGCCAGTATTCAAAATTGTATTCCTACCACTGAGGCAAGCCAGTCCTGTTGTTATGAAATTACTGATAATGACAGGGAGAATCAAACCATTGAATCAAACGATGATTATAATCTGGAAGACAGTGGGAGAGAGGATAATGATCAGGAAGAAAATCTTACCACTGAATCAAACCATGATCATAATCTGGAAGACAGTGGAAGAGAGGATAATGATCAGGAAGATCTTACCACTGAATCAAACTATGATCATAATCTGGAAGACAGTGGAAAAGAGGATAATGGTCAGGAAGAAAATCTTATCACTGAATCAAACCATGATCATAATCTGGAAGACAGTGGAAGAGAGGATAATGATCAGGAAGAAAATCTTACTACTGACTCAAACCATGATCATAATCTGGAAGACAGTGGGGGAGAGGATAATGATCAGGAAGAAGATCTTACCACTGAATCAAACTATGATCATAATCTGGAAGACAGTGGAAAAGAGGATAATGGTCAGGAAGAAAATCTTATCACTGAATCAAACCATGATCATAATCTGGAAGACAGTGGAAGAGAGGATAATGATCAGGAAGAAAATCTTACTACTGACTCAAACCATGATCATAATCTGGAAGACAGTGGGGGAGAGGATAATGATCAGGAAAAAAATCTTACCACTGACTCAAACCATGATCATAATCTGGAAGACAGTGGGGGAGAGGATAATGATCAGGAAGAAAATCTTACCACTGAATCAAGACAGATTTGTGAAGTGGAAGATAATGATCAAGATCTTATGCTTACCACTGACTCAAAGCATAATCATGATTTGGGAGACAAGGATGAATATTTTATTCTTACTACAGAAGCACAGAACATTGACGATATCGAAAACAGTAGGGTAGAGGACAGTAATAACGAACAAGTACTGTTATTTGAGGAAAATCACATGAGTAATTTGGAAAACAGTGAGGAAGATACAAGTGATCAAGGACAAGTTTGTACTACTGAAGCAGATTTAAGGCAGTTATGTTATTGTGATGAGAGAGAGAGTGAGGACAGTGGTCCAGAACTAATGCTTAGCCCTGAATCAGAGGATACTGAAAGCCAAACGCAATACGAGAAAGGTAATGTTAGAGAGTATAGCAAATATATTCTTTCTGATGCAAGTCATATTCATGAAGATGATGGAGGAGAGGGCAGTAATAAAAATGATATTCTTACCACTGAAGCAGGTCATATTCATTATGATGCTAGAGGAGGGGGGGATAATAAAGATAATTCTTTCACCACTGAAGTAAGTCATATTCATAATGATAATACTGGAGGAGAGGATGAAAATGATTCTCTCACCACTGAAGCCAGTCATATTCATGATGATACTGAAGGAAATGACAATAATATAGATGATATTCTCACCACTGAAGTAAGTCATATTCATGATGATGGAAGAGAGGACATTATTAAAGATGATTCTCCCACCACTGAAGTAAGTCATATTCATGATGATCATGATGGAAGAAAGGACATTATTAAAGATGATTCTCCCACCACTGATGTAAGTCATATTCATGATGATGATGATGGAAGAGAGGACATTATTAAAGATGATTCTCCCACCACTGAGGTAAGTCATATTCATGATGATGATGGAAGAGAGGACATTATTAAAGATGATTCTCCCACCACTGATGTAAGTCATATTCATGATGATGATGATGGAAGAGAGGACATTATTAAAGATGATTCTCCCACCACTGAGGTAAGTCATATTCACGATGATGATGATGGAAGAGAGGACATTATTAAAGATGGTTCTCCCACCACTGAAGTAAGTCATATTCACGATGATGATGATGGAAGAGAGGACATTATTAAAGATGATTCTCTCACCACTGAAGTAAGTCATATTCATGATGATGATGATGGAAGAGAGGACATTATTAAAGATGATTCTCCCACCACTGAAGTAAGTCATATTCATGATGATGGAAGAGAGGACATTATTAAAGATGATTCTCCCACCACTGAAGTAAGTCATATTCATGATGATGGAAGAGAGGACATTATTAAAGATGATTCTCTCACCACTGACGTAAGTCATATTCATGATGATGGAAGAGAGACTTATTAAAGTGATTCTCCCATAGAATCATTTATGATAAAGAGAGGAATATTAAAATTTCTCTCACCACTGAGTAAGTCATATTCATGATGATGGAAGAGAGGACATTATTAAAGATGATTCTCTCACCACTGACGTAAGTCATATTCATGATGATGGAAGAGAGGACATTATTAAAGATGATTCTCCCACCACTGACGTAAGTCATATTCACGATGATGGAAGAGAGGACATTATTAAAGATGATTCTCTCACCACTGAAGTAAGTCATATTCACGATGATGGAAGAGAGGACATTATTAAAGATGGTTCTCCCACCACTGACGTAAGTCATATTCATGATGATGGAAGAGAGGACATTATTAAAGATGGTTCTCCCACCACTGACGTAAGTCATATTCATGAAGATGTTGCTGGAAGAGTGGACAATGATCAAGATGAAACTCTAAATGCTGATGAAAGTGAAGTGCATTCGGAAAAGAACAGTGGAAGAGGAGATAATGACCCAAAGGAAATTCTTGCATCTGGAGCAAGTCAAGGAGAGAAAGAAGACAAGGAAAATGAGGGTAGTGATCAGAAGTTTATTCTCATCTCTGAAGAAGGGAAAGGTGGTGATGAAGACCAGGATCAAGAAGAAAAATATGCTAATGATGTTGAAATCAATCTTGTTGAAGGAAAATATATTGAAAAATTGTCTGCCACTCTAACAGATGCAAACCTTGGTACTGAAGTGAAAGGTCAAGAAAATAACATGGAATTCAAGAATGATTTTAATGATGAAATAAAGGATCAAGAACAAATTCTTAACACTGTAAAATCATTTACTTTCACTCCTGAAGCAACAGACACAAAGCCAACTCCAACTACAACTAAAAAGCCTTTCTCTGATGACATTGATTTTGGTCATAATATAGAGATAAAAATTGATAAGCAAGACCCTCAAACACTTGTTGATAATTTGACCAAGTGTTTACATAAGAGAGAACCTAAAGAGGAGAAAAACACTGGTAATGAGGTGACATTAAAAGACCCTCTTACAAATACAGATTTGCATGAGCACACTCACAGTACATCAGAAGAACAGTACTATAATCAAACACTGGGGCAGTATGACTTACCCCAAGAACAGTGTGGATCTGTCGCACAAGAACAGCAACCAAAGCGCAAACGGGGACGCCCTAAGAAAGGTTCCAAAGAATCTTTGCAAGGAAATAAATGTCCAAGAGAGTCCTTGTGTAGGAATATATCCTCGGTCTCTGAGTGCAAAATGAAATTGAATGTATCAGCTCGTGAGGAGAACATTAAGGGCAAAAGAATGAAAGTGAATAGGGGTGGTTATAATCGTCGACAAGAAGTATCGGTAAATTTAAATGTTAAACCAGGATATCCAGATAATCATGACGTGCATCATTTTAGTGACGGAAATTCTCAGAATCTCTTAAATCACGATAAAAAAATTCACAGTGAATTTGCATACGATGACTCTGTTGCTGGCACAAGTAAAACACCAACTCAAAACATAGGTGCCAGAGGCTCTCGCAGAAGACATGCATATAGTGT